GTCAGTGACTGAGCTGAGGAGAGGATTTGGTGGTTAACCACTGGCTACCCCAGCTTGGCTCCCTGAGCTCAGATGGCCAAAGTCCATGAAGAAAACAAAATCTAGGCATGGCAGCATGTTCTTGTCATGTCAGCACTGGCGAGATGAAGATAGATGATCCCCCGGGGCTCACTGACCAGCCACCATAGGCTGCTGCTGTGGTTTGAATTAGAGCGACCCCCACAGTCTCATAGGTTTGGATGCTTTGTCCCCAGGGAGTGGCACTATTGGAAAGGATTAGGAGTGTGACCTTGTTGGAGGAAGTGTGTCACTGCAGGTGGGCTTTGAGGTTTCAAAAGTTCACACTAGACTGACTCTCTCTCTCTCTCTCTCTCTCTCTCTCTCTCTCTCTCTCTCTCTGCCTGAAGACTGGGATGTGGCTCAGCTGCTGCCCCAGTGCCATGCGTGTATAATGGACTGAACCCCCGAAACTGTAAGCAAGTCCCCAATTAAATGCTTTCTGTTATGAGTTTCCTTGATCATAGCGTCTCTTCACAGCAATAGAACAATGACGAAGACACCTAATTAGATAGCTCTAGGCTAATGAGAGGCCTTGTTTCAAAAAACAAGGCAGTGAAGCCAGCAAGATGGCCCAGCAGATAAAAGTCCTGCTTATAGATCCACATGGTACAAGGAGAGAACTGACTTCCGCGAGTGGTCCTCTGGCCTCAATACACAGACCATGGCCCTCAAGCGCCTCCTCCACACAAAAACTAAAGAAATTATAAATAAATAGATAAGTACAATATTTAAAAAAAGGTTTTAATAAACCAAGATGGATAATTTCTGAGGAAAGGCTCACCCAAAGCTAGCCTAAACACACACATGCACGCACACACACATGCACACAGTGTCTTCCTAATACCTGCCCACTTTAAGCCTAAACCTTGAACTTGCCTTTCAAGGCCTTTCCTGCCCAGCATCACCACAGCCACGGCCATTGCGACAGCCACAGCCTCTGAATCGTGGTTTGACCTTTTCACAAGCTTCCTTTCCTCATCCGCATGGCAGGAATGATGAAGGTGCCTTTATCAAGGACAGCCATCCCAATACTGACCCCAAGTACTCTTCCTGTGGGGTGACAGAGGCAGCGTTTCCTCCTAAACTCAATAGACTGGTTACTGCCTAGACTATAAATGCTTACCGCTAGATCATAAACGCCATGCGCTTTTGTTTGGCTCTTTGAGGTTCCCCCTCTTGGAATCCAGTGACCGAACCCAAAGAGAGCCCATCACAGATGCCCTGTGCCATTGGTGCCAGCCAGCCCCGCCGTGGGAGTGCTCCAGTTGGTGCCAACATGCCCGCCATGGGAGTGTGCCATGCTGATAAAGGTCTTCTCCAGAGGCTAACCCTTGGAGCTTCAATGGCATCTGCCAAGGCCTTGAGCACAGGTAATCCTCAGGGCCATCTTCAGATATGACAGTTGGGGGCAAAGAGAGCTGAGATGCCAGTCCCATAGAGTCCTTGTGAGAAATGAAGTGAGCCACTCTGTCATGACAATAAACCACACAAGTGGTTCAACCAGACAGTTGTGTCTCAATATCCCGGAGACTGCAGCTCTAAGAAGAGACGATGAGTGTAGGCAATTCCTTCTGAGACCTCCCCTATGTCTGTGGCAGCTACGTCCTTCTCCCAGTGTCTCCTACCACCCTCTTCTGATATGGCCTTTCCTCCTTTTCATATCATGACAGTGATATTGGGTTAGGCACCACCCCAATGACCTTATTTTAAAGTCACTCCTACTTTAAAGACGTGAGAGTGGTTACAGTCCCATCCTGAGAAATTAGAGCCCAGATGTCTGCACACAAGTTGCAGCAGGGGACAGTTTAGCTAGTAACAATAAAGGATGGCCTATGGAACACTCTGAACAGTGCCTGCTCACGGAAAGCCCTCAGTCCATGTCAGCCAATGTCCCCATGCTAATGCCACCCCACTGCCCTCTACCTAAACTCATGTCACCTCTCTCTAGCTCTGGACTGTCTCAGGTCCCCAGACCGTCTTCTAGCCTGTGCCTTCTGCTGTCCTGGTCTCCATTCACCCCAGTCCCTCCTGGCTCAGGAGGTCAGCCCTCTCCATCCCTGGGATAAAAGGCTCTAGCAGACCGTGTCTGAGGTCCTGTGGACAGTCCTCCAGCCTGATGGGGATGGGGAGACTTGATTTTTTAGTTTTCAACCTGAACTTTTGTTCTGTTTCACAGTATAAAAATAGGGTGTGTTTTCTTCTTTCTGGCTATAAAAATGATGTGTTCTCAGTTGGTAAAACCTGTACAGCACACTTTCTTAAAAAAAAAAAGCAAAAAAAATCACTTTAAACTAATCTACTGGGTTTAGTTTTGTTTTTGGGACAGGTTTCCTGTAGCTCAGGCTGGTCTCAAACTTACACTGTAGCCAAGAATGACCTTGGATTTCTCACCTGCCCCTGCCTTTCAGGCGCTGAGATTGCAGGCAGGAACTTTGCTCCCTTGTTTAAGGGGTGCTTGGGATCAAACCCCGGGCTCCATGGCTTTATCGGCAAGCAGTTTACTGACCGTGCCACATCCCCAGCCATGGTGAGTGAGTTTTAATGTCATAGCTTCTGTGTCTCTGGAATTTTTCAGAGGTGTGAAATGTAATATGTGTATGGTATTTTCCCTCTTGATTCTAAGGTAACAGACCATAACGCGCACCCCAGGCTTAACTGCACAGGTCCAAGTAGAGAGGAATTGTATTAAACATATGTGTTCATTTACAGTGTGCATCCTGAGAAGCACACACGTTTTAGAAGCAAGAAATATGACACGGGCACAGCAGAGAAGGCAAAAAGCACTTGTTTTCTGGGATGCTTTTACACTGTGAGAAGACTTATCACTGTGATTGGTCTCATTAAGAACTGAACAGCCAATAGCCAGGCAGGAGGTATAGGTGGGATTTTCAGGCAGAGAGGGAGGAAGCAAGAGAGGAATCTAGGCGCATGTGAGATGCCATCAGACATGGAGGGAGTCAGGCATACAGAACGAAAGGAAGGTAAGAAGCCACAAGGCAAAAATGTAGATAAATATAAATGGGTTAATTTAATTTATAAGAGCAACGGGGCAAGTCAAAGCTAAGGCCAAACTTTCATAATAAATAAGTTTCTGTGGGGCTGGAGAGATGGCTCAGTGGTTAAGAGCATTGCCTCCTCTTCCAAAGGTCCTGAGTTCAATTCCCAGCAACCACATGGTGTCTCACAACCATCTGTAAAGAGGTCTGGCGCCCTCTTCTGGCCTTCAGAATATTGTATACATAATAAATAAATAAATATATAAAAAAAATAAGTTTCTGTGTAGTTATTTGGGAGCTGGCTGGTGGGACAGCAAAAGTCTCACTACAAGCACTGGCTACCTGAATCTTAGCCCCACGTTCAAGCCCAGAACTTAAGGGAAAATCCAGATACGGTGGTGGACGCCTGCAATCCCAGAGCTCTTATGGTGGGACAGACAGTATAGACAACAGAATCCGCCAGACACTCTAAGGTCAGCTAAGCCCCAAGTAGTCAGCACAGCACCAAAACTAAGACCCTGCCTCAGTGGGGTGGGAGTGGTTTGACTCCCACACGTGTGTGCATACCCACACTCAAACGTACATCATGCACAAAGCGAGGAGGGAAGGAAAGGAGGAAGGCATGGAGGGCTATATATTACAAAATTACACCCTTTGAGTGCCACGCTTAAGATTGTTTTATTTTAGGACCTGGGGTCTTGCCAGATAATCTTGGGCTCCCACGCTCAAAAAATCTCCTGCTGCAGCCTCCTAAGTATCCAAGATGATAAGTGCCTGTCTTGGGAATACCGTCTCGTGGTCATTGTTTAACAAAGCTTGTCCACCGTTCCACGTCGATAACTGGGCGGCACTGTTGCGAATCTTCGTGGCTGCAAAGTATTCCACCAAACGGATGTCTCATAGCTACCCCAGACTCATTCCCCAGCACTGTGCAGGTCAGCAGGAGTTCTTTGGCATCCATGCATGCGTCGCCAGCCTGGAGCAAAGTGATTGTGGGAATGGTTGGTGTGGGTTCTCAGTAGTGTCAGGCTGTGAGCCTGAGGTCCACCCACCCTCCGTGACTTTGCCACCACGCAGCTTTCCAAACTCCCAGCCCAGTATGTTTCAGGCCCTGCCTGGCTGGTCCAGGTCCCCTGTTCTTTCTTTATTGTACCCTCTGCTTCTTGGTTCTTGGCTGTAATTTGATCTTCACATGCAAGCTCTCTCTCCGCTCAGGGCCTTTGCACAACCTTTCCCCCATCTTTACCCCACTCCCTGATCAGACGCCCTCTCCAGGAAGCCTTCCATGGCTTAGCCCTCCTCAGGTGAGCTCCACTAATCTTTCCTGGGACACTTACCGTTAGGATAAATCAGGAGATTACCAGCAGTGAACCATTCCGAAATTACACAGTAGGCAATTTCTGATGGTTAACGTAATATAGACCCATCACGCCACCCCTTCAGTGTTGAGTGATGACTTCTGGGACAGGGACCTGTCTGCAGTGTTCACTGTGGCATTATCCCGGCACTGTACCCAAACTCAGACAGCATCATCTGTCAATATTAATGAATAAATGAATTATGAAGCTTCGAGTCAGATTGAAACTAAGACCGTAAGTGCCTTAGCATAGTCTGTGCCAGCGTGGGGGAGGATCACCTGTCTTCCATTTGGCAGTGGTCGAAGGGAGCAGAGACGTTGACAAGGCTAAGTGCACACCACCCGCCACAGTGGCTGGATCCAGCTGCCGTAATTTCCAATCCAGTTTCTTCAGGACTGTGCCCAGTATCACTTTAAAGTGGTCACTAGAAGCTGGGCCCCTCTAGATGGAGAGTCAGGCCGAGGAGGACAGGAGGACGTGGGGAGAAGTCTGGGCGCTCCCTCTCATCGGTCTCCTCCCACGACCTAGAAGTCCAGGCGCGTAGCTGGTGCACTGTGCACCGATGGCCACACGGTGGCAGTGTTGGCACCGACTGGGCTCTGGGAGTAGCAGGAAGGCCCAGCCAGCTCCCGCAAAGATGCCTTCAGAGGCCGCTGTGTAGTGTGCATGCTGCGCGCACAAAAGGGTACGTGTGCTGGGCGGTGTTGGAGGGTGCCCCCTGTGTCTGTAATTATAGATGGAAAAGTCCGAAGGGTCTGTGTGCATAGGTACGCGTGCATGCTTGGTTGTCTCGACGTGGTATTTGTGCTTCCATGGGTGTTATTTTTTTTTTTAACAATGTGTCTTTAAATCTGTGAAACTATATGAGCTAAGGATGCTCACCGGGGGAGAGTGTTTAGTATGTAAAACCACCATGGTCTTGATGTGCACATGTGGAGTAAGTGTGTTTCTGGGAGAGAGGAGGGGACAGCTTGAGGATGTCTGTATCTGGTTGTCCGTCTACACCAATGCCAGGGACTCCTGGAGCTCTGTCTCCCCCTGCCCAGACCCCGTCCTCCATAGATACTTCTCTGATTCTGACCCCCAGGGCTTCAAGCGGGGGCCCCACTGGCTGCAAATCTTCTAAGATGCTGTGCTCTCACCTCCTCCCGCCCACGTCTCTCTCTGGGACCCCTCCCTCCAGCCACTGATGCCTGCAATAGCAGAGCTTCACCTACTGCAGCTTCAGGACCCTGAGCACACAGAGTGGGATGACAGCCTCCAGCTGGCACCCAGCAGGGCCTAGCCCAGTTCCCCATCCCGGAGAAGAGATAGACACCCTTGTCACTGGGGTCCTGGGTAGTCCCACAGAGCCCATCAGTGTGCGGACATGTTCCTTATTCTCACCTAGTGGTGCCCGGGACTAAGCTCTGCCTGTCTTCTCAGACCTCAGAGTGGGACTGGGTCTCAGATTAAATGGTCCAAGCCTGGGAAGGATGCGGGGATGGCACTAGCTCCTTCTCCTGGTGCCATCTCTTACCCTATACAGGCATGTCATGGCTCCCTCCAAGCCTGCTCCCTCCCCCTGCCAGGCAAGGGCCCAGAGTGCCACGTCTGACCATGTCTGGACACCCTTCCCCCCATGGTTATTAATAATTGGGTATTAGGCAAGAGGCACTATCGATTCTGGCGCGGGCAGCTCCAGGTCGAGGTAATTTATGGAAACACCCGTGTCCCTGGTGATAAATAATGAGGTGATCGTGAGGATGGGTCACTAGTGAGCGGCCTCCATCCTCTGCCCTGTCCACTAATACACTAGCTCATAAATGGAGGCGGGAGCGAGGGACCCGGCAAGCTGGAAAGACAAAGGACGCTTTGGTGATACAAGCCTCCAGATGACAAGACAGGGAGAAGCAGAGACAAGGCTCGCTCCGTGGGGCCTGGTGGAGGAGCTGGATACAAAGAGGGCAGACTGGCAGCCAGGGACATAGGAGGGAAACAGTGGGGACAAGGAGATACGGGAGAGATGGAGTGGGAGAGGAATGAGAGACGCACAAGGCAGAGGAGGGTGAGATGGGGCGCCCTGAGGCTGTGCAGGGTGGGGACAGCAAGGACAGAGACAAAGAAAGAGGACTGGAGTAGTCGTGGCCAGCTGCGCCCAGAGAGGACCATGCACAGGTCAGTGCACCAGCCCCTGACCGGTCACCAGGCCTGTGTACTCTGGAAGCAGACTCTGAATCTCCTGGGCCCAGCTGTGTAACCTTACACAGGTCACTTCCCCTTGACGAGAGGACCCTCTTCTGCCTAGCTGGGAGAATGAGCCTTCAACGTCAGTGCACTTGGGACCGAGCGCCAGCCCTCAGAATGTGCAGGTCAGTGTGTAACCGTGGCACGTGGTACTGATGGAGTCACACTTCACGTGACTCCAACTCTATTGAGTGAGCAGAATGCCCAGTTGGACAAGAGAGGCAGGTTGAACAGCTGCAGGGAGCTCTCACAGGAGCGAGGTGTGATTTGGGCCTGGACTTAAACAGGTGGGAGACACATTTCTGGGAATAAGAGGACATGAAGATGTGTTCATGATGAAGGAATACCTGCAGGGCTGGGTTGCAGCCTCTAGCTCACCCACCCACCCACACTCATACGGAGTGACCAGCTTTAACTTGGCTAGCTCCAAGGCCAGAAAACTCACTAACCACTCTTGAGAAAACCTTTCTCACAACTACCCTTCAGCCCAGTCTAGCCCCCCTCCATTGCTCACTCCCACCCCCATGTTCTGATCACCAGGCACCCTCGCTTGGCTGTTGTAGACAATGCTCCCATGCTGGCTGGCCCAGGGCTGGGGGCTGCCCCTCTCCCCTGGATCCACAGCGCTCACTTTTGACCACTCAGAGCCTGGGGCTTCTTGGATAGCTGCCAGGATCTGCCTCCCTTCCCATCTTGTATACCCAGACCAGTCTACAGGCTGACCCGAGGAAGACACCCACTCTGTGTCCCCTGGATGGTATCTTGATCCTACTGCCTACTGACCAGGTGGCTGTGTACAGGGTCCCAGTGTCCACTAGGGTCCCAGAGTCATGTGCAGGGTGCCTAGAACCAGGGCAATATGGTTCTACTCTCAGGATCCCCTCCCCCAATGCCTTTCCCTATGGTCCCTGAGTAGCCCGTGTTTCTCCATTATGTCTGGCACTCATGTTTGAGAGTTTACAGAGGTCTTGGCATGGCTCTGTGTGACATTGGTCAACACCCCCCTCATGCCCAAACCTATCCTGACCCTATGGGACCCTTCCACACTCACACCAGGGAGTAAGCTCTCAAGTGGTCTAGGCCATCATGGTGGCCATTCCCTGGACCTACCATCTCTTGTGTCCCTTTCATGTGGGCGATTTGCTCCCAGAGACTTCTCATCACCTCTCATGACCTTCACCCTGGAGGTCAAGGCACAGGCCCATCTGATAGAGGCTATTCTTGGCAGTGGCTCTCCTGGGATCATGGCTTCCTATTAGGGGTTTCTAAACCATTCCTTGCTGTCCACTCTAGAACTTAATTGAGCAATTAAACTCAGCCAGTACTACGGCCGTTCCTGAACTCAGCAGCTGATTAAGGTTTTGTTTTGTCTCCTCATTTGATAGTTATCCAAGGAGGTGGAGCTGAGAGGTTGATGTCATGGCCACATACCATGGATGGGTACCATCTTACAAAGGATGAGACCGGGCAACTGTTAAAAAAAAAAAAACACCGAATCTCTTGCTCATAGGACTGGGGCTCTCCTGCAGTGAGTGGATGGGCTCAGAGGCCTTCAGACCTTAGACCTGCGTGGTTGGGAGGAGCACCGAGGGCAGGTGTGAGACAGAGACGCCATCTTGATTAGTTAGGGATGGGTGAGGAAGGCCTACATCCTACAGGGAAGTGGGGAAGCGTTGGATCTATGCAGCTGGGCAGGAAACAGTCTGCGGGGTCAGCAGGGCAGGCCCGCTGTCCAGGATGCTGGAGAAGACACACTCCTGGGTGTTTGCTGCATCCTAGTACCCAGTCCGGAGTCACCGGGCTTGGCAGAGTCTGGGAGCGAGCAGACACAAGGAGAGATGAACTAGGGCCAAGAGAAGGGCAGGGGCTGGGAGGTGTGGACGAGGTGAGGTGAGGCCCTATGAAAAGACTGGAGAATTGTGGAACTGGGAGAAGGGGCGTCTGTCAGAGCCTCTGGGTGAACCAGGGAGACCTGCCAGCAGGCTGGGGTTAGGAATGAGGAAGCGGGAACATAGATACAATTAGGGGACCTTTTTGTGTCTTCCTCTCCAAATGTCCCCCTAATGCTAGCAAGGCTGAGACTGGCTGCTTCTGACCAGGGCAAGCAGGTGTAAGCCGAAACTTCTACCATTGAGCCAAACACCAGTCCTCCCCCAGATCTTTTAGACGCTTTGCCTAGGAGCAAACCTTGTACCTGTGGGTCATAACTGGAGCTCCCGAGGGTCTCCAGAGCCCTTTATGGTTCCCCATGTAGCAGGGTCATCTCATAGATTTGCCCAAGGCCACCTGACTGCTTTGGGTCCTACAGCCTGACTTGGTGGGCACATAGGGGGTTCCTTCTCCTCAGCTTGCTGCCCCTCCCTTCCTCAAAGCCTGTGCAGCCAGCTCCCCAGCTCCGCCAACCCCCAAGCTACCCCCCAGCTCAGTGTTTTACTATGTTCCAGCACTGGTTGAGCTCCAGAACAACTGTCTGTTTCTTCTGCCGAGGGGCTGTGGCAATGCTGTGTCCCATGCAGGGCCTGGCTCCAATGAGGCCCTTGGTCCCTGGTCACCCTGGTCACCGTGGGTGGAGTGCGGAAAGCACAAACAGGATACCTATGACCCTCCAGGTCAGGGTGGACATGGGGGAACTGACTGAGCGGCTGCCGCTAGTGGGGCCCCATACCTCTCCCAGGCCCTCAGCACCGCCCCCCATCAACGGCTTTGTTCCCGACCTCAAACCACAGGGAGAATAAAGTTTGTGAAATATTAGTTTAATAAGACATGCGACTACTATTAAGGATCCAAGGGTTCTTATTTATTATTCATGGGGCCGTGTGATTTAGGGCCGAGTGGGTCCGCGGAGGCTTTGCTTGGCCGCCTCTGCTGCAACCCACCCTCCCCGCAGCGCCCAGCTTCCATCATCCTCTCCCCTGCACTTGCTCAGACTGCAGTGCTCACAGGAACCGCCACTATCACCAGGTGTGGAGGGACAAGGTGGCCATAGCTCTTCCCTGGGGGCTTCGGTGTTGTAGCAGGCCGAAGGGCGGTTCCTTTTCTGTCTCCTCTTTAGGGTCTTTGGGACCTCCAAGAGTTGGGTAGGTAAAGCAGGCCTTGGGCAGATTGGGACAGTGAGGAGGGGACTAGGTTATACCTGAGCTAACTTGCTGTGTGACCTTGGACAGGTGTCTCGCCTTCTCTGTCTCAGGCTCCCTCTAAAATCAGAGCCTGGGTGATCATCTGAAAGTTTTAAGCAGGTGTCTTGTCTTTTGTTTGTGTACAATATCTTCCTAGAGGCACTACGTCCGTCACGGCATCTCGGTGCCACCAAATTTCCTTTTCTGTGACTTGCAGTCAGCTCTTCCCATGCCCTCAAACCCAGACGCTCTGTCCTGACTTCTCTGGTCATACATTAGAGTTGCTGGCTCTTGAAGTCTGGAGTAGTAAAGTCACGTGACTTTATAAAACATGTGATTGTGAACAGTTTCTCCTTTTTTATTGTTGATCAAGACTCCATGATGTGACTGGCAAGCTGTGAATTCACTCACCACCTGTGATCATGCAGGCTCCGTTCCACTCACCTCCCTATGATCACGCAGGCTCAGGTCCGCTCACCTCCCGTGATCACGCAGGCTTCTGGTCCACTCACCTCCCATGATCATGCAGGCTTAGGTCCACTCACCTCCTGTGATCACGCAGGCTCAGGTCCACTCACCTCCCGTGATCATGCAGGCTCAGGTCCACTCACCTCCCGTGATCATGCAGGCTTCTGGTCCACTCACCTCCCGTGATCACGCAGGCTCAGGTCCGCTCACCTCCCGTGATCATGCAGGCTTCTGGTCCACTCACCTCCCGTGATCATGCAGGCTCAGGTCCACTCACCTCCCGTGATCACGCAGGCTTCTGGTCCACTCACCTCCCATGATCATGCAGGCTTAGGTCCACTCACCTCCTGTGATCACGCAGGCTCAGGTCCACTCACCTCCCGTGATCATGCAGGCTTCTGGTCCACTCACCTCCCGTGATCACGCAGGCTCAGGTCCGCTCACCTCCCGTGATCATGCAGGCTTCTGGTCCACTCACCTCCCGTGATCATGCAGGCTCAGGTCCACTCACCTCCTGTGATCACGCAGGCTTCTGGTCCACTCACCTCCTGTGATCACGCAGGCTTTTGGTTCCCCCTTCCATGATCACACAGGCTTCTGGTGTTTGGTGCTCATGAATGACAGCTCCCGGGAGTGTCTGCCTCTTGGATTCTATTTCCCTTGGGTAAATATTTATGCCTGAACTTGCTAAGTCGAAAGGTAAGTACATTTTGTTGTTTATTATCTAATTTTAAATTTCCCTGCATTGCTAAGGCCCAGCTCACAGCCCTGAAGGTCACTCACTCTACCATGGAGCTGTCCACTGGCTCCCGTGTTCGTTGTTTTTTAAAGGGTCCTTTTTAATTTTTATTTGTGTGTATGTTTGTCTTCATGTTTATGCCTTGTGTGTGCAGTTCCCTAAGAAGTCCAGAAAAGGGCTTCTGTTCCCCGGGAGCTGGAGTTGAAGGGGGGTGACCGGGAACAATGTGCACTCCTGATCTCTGACCATCCCACCCCTGTGCTTGACTTTTAAAGTAAGTCTCCAGGGCTGGAGAGATGGCTCTGTGGTTAAGAGCGCTGGCTGCTCTCTCAGAGGATCTAGGCTCAGTTCCCAGCACCCATGTGGTGGTTCACACCTGCTGTAGCTCCAGTTCCAGGGGATCTGGTGCCCTCTCTTGGCCTCTCTGAGCACCTGCGGTCCTGTGCATACCACACACAGGCATATATACTTTTTTTTTTTTATTGTTTGGATCTTTTCTTTCTTTTTTTAAAAAAATTTATTTATTAAAAATTTCCACCTCCCATTTCTCTCCCACTTCCCCACTCCCTCTTCCTCTCCAGTCCTAAGAAAAATCAGGGTGTCCTACCCTGTGGAAAGTCCAAGGCCCTCCCCACTCCATCCAGGTCTAGGAAGGTAAGCATCCAGACAGACTAGGCTCCCACAAAGCCAGTACATGCAGTAGAATCAAAACCCAGTGTCATTATCTTTGGCTTCTCAGTCATCTCTCATTGTCAGCCACCTTCAGAGAGTCCGGTTTGATCACATGCTCATTCAGTCCCAGTCCAGGCCTTGGTGAGCTCCCGTTAGATCAGTTCCGCCCTCTCAGTGGGTGGGCGCACCCCTCGCGGTCCTGACTTCCTAACTCGTGTTCTCTCTCCTTCTGCTCTTCATCTGGGCCTTGGGAGCTCAGTCCAGTGCTCCAATGTAGGTCTCTGTCTCTATCTCCATCCATCGCCAGATGAAGGTTCCATCTGGATTGAACTCCCCAGACTCTGGATTGAACTCTCCAGCCTCTGGATTGAACTCCCCAGCCTCTGGATTGAACTCCTCAGCCGCATATACACATTTTAAAAATAATAAATCTCTCTCTCTCTCAAATCCTTACAGTCCCATCAGCAATGCTTAGAGATCTGTGGTTGCTCCACATCCTTGCCAACACTTGCTAGTGTTGGACTTTTTAATTTTAGCCATTCTGTTGCGTGCCTTGGTACTTCAAGTGATCTTAATTTGTTATTTGCTAAAGCTACTGGTCACTCTTGTGATGTGAGGAAATTTCTGTATTTTCTTTTGTGACCCGTGATTTCCTGTTTTGGTTGCTTTCTTGATTTTGCTTTTATTCACAGGACATGTTAACAGACAAAGAATGCAAGCCGGAGGCTGGGAGAGGGCTCAGTGGGTAAGCTGCTGGCCTTGGAGACCTCAGGGCTGAGTTTGAATCCCCAGAACTTCTGCACAGCTGGACATAGCAACACGGGCACTCCTACGGTGACATCCAGCGATCCTGCTCACACAGCTGAACCTGAGGTTGTCTTCTGCGTGCACATGCCTGAATGCCTACCTGTGTACCCATAGAGCACACAGGAGGAGAGCCCTGTTAGACGTGAAGTTGTGACTTTTTAAATTTGTAGCATTCCTGTGTCTTCTGTTTCTTTGATAAAGAAGTGTTAACTGAAAGTTTCTGTTCATAGCCCCTGTGTTCTGTGGGCTCTCAGTTGATTTGCTCTGTGTAGTGAGTGCATTTTCCAGGGTTTTCCTGTCGAAGCTTATAGTTTAAAGTACGAAGTGTCATGACCCACTGCAGACTGACCTTTGTGGGTGGTGAGCTTTTCTGTTGCTTGATTCCGTTCTCTGTTCGTTCATCCGGTTGTCCAATGTGATTGAAGACAGCTTTTTACAGTGGCCAGGCAAGCAAAGGGAAAGAAAGACCAGAAAGAAGAAGGGAGGGAAGACAAAGGAAAGGGAAGAGGAGAGAGGTGAGACAGAGAAGCGTGGGTGGAGGGAGCGGGGGAGAGGATGGGCCTTCTGGTGTTGGTCTGTCCCTGGGTCCCCACCACCTGCCCCTGGGTCCCTACCGCCTTGTCCCCTGGGTCCTCACTGCCTGCCTCCTGGTCCCCACGGCCTGCCCTTGGGTCCCCACTGCCTGCCCTCGGGTCCCCATCGCCTGTCTCCATGCCAGGTTCTCCAGTCTTGATTCCATCACCTTCACAGTGAGCTTGAAAATCAGGCAGGGTAAATCCAATGTTTCCTTTTAATATTGGCTGGATTATTATTGGTCTTCTGCTTTCTCATATCAATTTGAGAATCAATTTGCCAATGATTTATAAAAAATAAAATCTCTTTGATGTTTTTGTTAGGACCCAAGTTTCCCATAACTCATACCGGGTGGGCCTTGGGAGGCTCTCGGTCTCCCATCTGGCCACCCCCAGTTACCTTTTCTGCCAGTATTCCTCTGAAGATGCAATCCTTCCCAGCAGCCCAGAGGGTGAGGCTGAGGATCTGAAAGCTAAACTCATCCCAGAGTCTGGAGTAAGAGTGCTCAGCCTAGTCCTGGGGTCATTGCCACACCGGTGAGGGCAGCTGTGGAGGCCCATATGTCACTAAAATATTGATCATTTAAATGTTGTCATGCCTGGGGCTTAGCTCAAATTAACAGAATGAGAGTAGGTGGTGAAACAGAAGCAATGTTGGGCATGAGCTAAGCATGGATATTGGTTGTGGGCACAGAGGACTCATAATACCCCTTACCCGTCCTGAACACGCGTGGCATTTTATGATGAACATGTTCAACATACATCCTTCACTTCCCCCAGCCTTGCCTGGACCCCACTGCACACTGGTTAATAACTTTCTCTTTGCCATCTGCAGCTTCTCCTGTGACTGCTCTGTCCCCATGCACCCTGGAACAGACCCCGCTGCGCAGGTGGCCGTGTCCAGGCTGCCCGTGATGCAGGGTTGGCAGGTGGGTTTCCACCTCACCTTAAATGAGTTCTAAGATGACTGACCTCCAACAGCTGCCACCTGCAGCCCTGGGCAGGGCCCTGAGCCAACCCCAAGCAGCAGTGGAGGGCCGGATGGAGAGAGAAGACAGAGCTAAAGGCAGAAGGGAAGACCATGAGGGACTTCAGAGGCCCCTGCAAGACCTGGGCTCAGCTCCAAATGGAGGCTACAGCAGGGAAGAAACTGTCTCTTAAGTGTGGGAAGATGCCTGCAGCTGCTATGGAAGAAATGACATGCGGCAGAGAGAAGCTTAGGAGGCTGCGTGGCCACCAAGACTGACACAACATGGGCTGGCTGGCACCAGGCTGGTGGCAGAAGCGGTCAAAATGGCCAGGCTTGGGATACATGGGAGGGGTGTCAAGGACAGGCTTCTGCACAGGTAGGATTTGGGTTGAGAGAGAGATAGGGGAGCTGGCCATGGTGCTTAGGGCTGGGCTGGAGTGGTGGTGAAGGGTTGACATCTGTCAGGTCAGGGACTATGGGGAGAGCAGAAAGTCAGGACCATGACATGTAAAACATGTGGCTGGTCCTTACAAAACTCACACAGGAGTGTAGTGGCCATCGTGACAGTGTGAAAGGGTCATGCATCCCTCAGGGTGACCAGGTCTCTACCTCCTGCGTGGTCTGAAGCAGGCCCTGGGGAAGTGGTTAGCTATTGTGGAAGGGGGTTTCTGACGGAATCTGTGGGTTCTGCCTGCTTTGCCTGTCTTCCCTAACGTCTCGTGCCATGAGCTATGTCACGACGGTATAGGGACCTTCACCAAGTGAATCATACTCTTCACGCCCCAGTTCCAGAGCCAGAAGCAAAAGAACCTTCAGTTGTTTATAAATGGCCCAGCCTCTGGTACTCTGTGATAGCCAAACACCAACAGATGGTCCATCCTGTCTGAGATGGTCCATCCTGTCTGAGATGGTCCATCCTGTGGTACTCTGTGATAGCCGAACACCACCTGAGATGGTCCAGCCTATGGTACTCTGTGATAGCAGAACACCAACTGAGAAGGTCACATGACCTGTTGAGCAGACAAGGGCACACAGGTGTAGGAGCCAGTGTTGCAGCTGAATGACAGGGGTCTGCTCTAGGATGGGGTTGAAAGCTCACTAGGGTGGTAACTGCGATGAAACAAGATAGCATGTCCCAAGCTTGACCCATAAGCGTGAGTGACTGCATCCACAGCCTCCTCCCATAGGGTGCTACTGCCCCTTAGCCATCAGCTCTGTTCTGCCTCACTCTGTCCTAGGCCCCACCAACCTCCCTCTGTGAGCTCATTCTGCCTGCAGTGCCCAGCCCTCCAGGCTCCCCTGCAGTGCCCAGCCCTCCAGGCTCCCCTGCAGTGCCCAGCCCTCCAGGCTCCCCTGCAGTGCCCAGCCCTCCAGGCTCCTCTACAACCCATCTATCCTTTCACCAAAACTCACTTCTCTGTCAACTTTTTTTTCTTTTTCTTTTTCAAGACAGGGTTTCTCTGTGTTGCTTTGGAGCCTGTCCTGGAACTAGCTCCTGTAGACCAGGCTGACCTCGAACTCACAGAGATCTGCCTGCCTCTGCCTCCCAAGTGCTGGCATTAAGGGTGTGCGCCACCACCACCAGGCTCTATCAACTTTCTTAAAATAGTTCCCGTGTGCTACCGGTGAGCCCAAGCCCTGGTCAGGGCCGTGTGTGGGGTACAGTTGCTATCCCTGCACCACTTTCGAAAGAGGGGGCCCTTCTAAGACAAAGGATGCTTAGAAAGAAGCCAGCCAACCATGCCTCACTGATGGACCCCCCCACAGTATCCCCACATTCCTTCTCTCCATGTGGGGATACCTAAAGATGGGAACTGCCTCAAATGGACAAGGAAGAGCAGAGCAATAGGGTGTCTGCTTAGGCTGCTTAACCACACCCACCTACATCCACTCACTCTGGATACAGTGGTTTGTACAAGAGCAAAGGCAAGGGAAGAGTGTCCAAAACAAGGCCCTCAGCAGACAAAAGGTGCAGACTCTGCACGCTGGACCGGCAGCGTACAGCGTAACTGCCCAGGTTTAACAGAGACAGATATGAGGCTGACAGCTTACAGACAGGGCCGGTGGCCCAGGTTGAGAGACTAGATGCTGAGCCCTGGCCTGAGCCCCCAGCCTCCTCATCTTCAAGTGTGGTGTAGGGGGAACAGCTGAACCTGATCTGGTACCCACCCCCACGCCCCAATCAAACTTCCCTCCAAGCAAGGCTAGCCCCTTCCCTGGAGGAGGCCAGGCTGCAGACAGTGCCACTGCTCTGGAGAGGGGAGTTGAATATTCAGTATCTGGGGAGACAATAAAAGTCCCAGGAAGAACCTGGCTAAGGCAATTACCTCTGCATAAATGCATATATTATTCATCCGTGGCTTTGAATATATAAATAATACTGATACAATTTGCATGCGTTAAAAGGGGATGTAATTACCCACGGATGCCCGTGAGCGCCTGGTACCCACTGGCCACGTCCTGGACGTGCTGCCCTGCCCCTGAAGGCTCACCTTTGCCCTTTCGAGTGGCGGCCGTTGCTGCATGAGGGTGTCTGTAGTGACTCAGAGGCTGTGATGCCTCTGGCAGTTCTGCTGGACTGGTGACCTTGGGGACTCTTCTTGCCTCCCGACTGCATCTGAAAACTTTGGACTCTTTTTAATAAGATCATTATGATCGTCCCTTTTTAAGAATCACATTGTCTTGGGCTATGGAAACAACGCTTGTTTATCATGTATAATTCGGAAAATGAACAAATTTGAAAATGAAGAATAGAATTTGTTACCTCCCTCACTGCCCTGATGTGGCCACAGCACGTTTGTCTTCTGGCTAGCCTTGTCGGTTTCTAACAAACTTGGGATTGTATTATGCACAAAGGTTTGTGGCCTGCTTTTATCTTTTATGTCATGTCATCAGTAGATGAAGAAATATAAAAGGCTGATAAGTAGAAAAAGATCCCAACCTCACTAGTAATTAAAGAAAATAAAAATTATAATCACACCGAGACATAAGTTTTCACCTACCACACTGACAGATTTAGAATAACAGTTCTAACCACTGCTGGTACACACACGAAGGAAGGGCTTCCCAGAACAGTCAGCAGAAAGAAACCGGAGATACTTCTGTGAAGGGCGAGTTAGCCGTCAAGTCAGGAGGCTTAGAAGTGCACAGCCTTTGACCTCTGAAGGTCTGTTCCTTAGAGTTCCAACTGTTGGCCAGAGAGAAGATTCACTCCAGTCACACAGAACAAAAGATCAAAAACAACTTTAAAAATTCAGGGGTGGGAATTAGTGAGGTCTGTTATGACCTGGAGTTGGACCTGCAGCTCCTACAACAGATAGTGGAGGACGTTTATATATATAAATGTATGTTCACACACAAAGACACAATATACACATAGACACACACACGGACACACGGACACATCAACATATACAAACATACACACATGTGCATGCACAGGGACAGATGACACACACAAACACACAGATGTGTGTGCACACATATCCTGACACATACACACATAGAGATGTGCATGCACACAGAGAGACACACACACACAAGTGCACATACAGATATGCATACACACATACACACAACCAGACATGCTTGTACACACACATACACAATGTGAATGCACACACAGAGACACAGACACAACACGCACAGATGTGTATGCATATACACAGAGACATGGACACACACAACACACATAAATGTGCATGTACACATAGACAGACACATACAAATACCCTCCCCAGATGTGCATGCACACACACATCCAGATGTGCATGCACAACACACACATCCAGATATGCGTGCACAACACACGCATCCAGACATGCACATGCACATACACACACCCAGATGTGCGTGCACAACACACACATCCAGATGTGCACGCACACACACATCCAGATGTGCACGCACACATACATGCATCCAGATGTGCATGCACACACACATACAGACGTGCATGCACAATACACACATGCAGACATGCATGCACACATATGCACATTCAGACATGCGTGCACACATATGCACATCCAGACGTGCATGCACACATACACACATCTAGGCATGCAGCACACATATGTACATCCAGACATGCATGCACACATATGCACATGCAGACATGCATGCACACATCCAGATGTGCATGCACAATACACACATGCAGGCATGCATGCACATATACGCACATCCAGACATGAATGCACACATACACACAACCAGACGTGAAGGTACATATACACACATCCAGATGTGCATGCACACATATGCACATCCAGACATGCATGCACACATACACACAACCAGACGTGAAGGTAAATATACATACATCCAGATGTGCATGCACACATATGCACATCCAGACATGCATGCACACATATGCAATCCAGACGTGCATGCACACATATGCAATCCAGACGTGAAGGTACATATACATACATCCAGATGTGCATGCACACATACACACATCCAGATGTGCATGCACACACACATCCAGACATGCATGCACAGACATACAGACATGCACACACACACACACACACCCAGACGTGCATACACACACTCATGTGCACACACAGTCTCTCTCTCTCACACACACAGCCAACACTCAGCATATATAACCAAGAGTAATGATTATGTTGGGATTTCTAGTTGAAAAGTTTATTTCTCTCTCCACTGACTAGATGAGAGGAATAAAATGACAGAGCGACTGGGGAGGTGTTGGGGCAGGTGGGTAAGGCACCTGTTTCAGAAGCTTGGTGACCAGAGTTCGAATCCTGGAGCTGGGTCCCTCACACCCATGTAAAGCAGGACCTGGAGAGCTGTTTGCCCCTTAAGGCAGCTGCCACCCTGTTGAGTTTTCTTCATTCTTCTGGCCAAAGCCAGTCAAATGCCAGCCCAGGTTCCAGGGTTAGGCATAGACTGAGATCATCAGTTCCTGCAGCGTGCTGCAGGGGAGGAGGGAAGACCAGCACTATGGTCGGCCTCACCCTCTCATCCTGAGTCTTCCACCATCCTGCTGGTGTGGTCACTCAGATGGGTTTCCTCCATCACATTAGGGCAGGAAACAAACCAACATACCAATCTGATCAAGAGAATAGAGTCTCTGGTCTAGAGACCTAACAACCAGGTAAACTAGTTCTCTAGGAAGGTGGGCTCACCCTAGGCCACGGTAAAGAGCTATGTGGAGATGAGATGCTGTGCTTCTCATTCCCCGAATCCTCCTGCACAGTGCAGAAGCCTACTGGTATGCCCGCTTTCCTGCCTTATTCAGAAAGGAGTGATTTCCATTTCTTCTATCTCTTTTCTAAGCTAAGCATGCTTTCCTTAGAGTTTTTGGCTGCTTGTCTGTGACATGTCTGACCTCAGTGGCAGCTAGAATGGCTTGGCTTTTCCCTTTCTCCTTTCCTCTCCAGGCAGCTTGCCTGCCCCGAGGTTTTTATTTTAAAATAGAACAAAACTGTCCTAGAATTTCCATTTGAATCCATTCTTAAATTCTTATATTTAATGAGACCAAGAACCTGATCCATTCTCCAACCCCCCATCAAGTACCCATTCCTACTCTCCCGCAGTGTAGCTTTCCTTGCAGGAAACGGCTCACAGGAACTACAA